GCGGAGCGGGGCGCCGGGTCGCCGCAGTGTCAGGAGACCATGGGCCCCTGTTGTGTCGCTCTGCTTGTACGAAGACCCACTTGCCAGCCCTTCAAAAACAAAGAGGTATTTCTGAGACATCCCGAAAGCCTCCGATTTAATTTTTGCTCCGATGCCGTCCTCTCAGAGAATCCCCCTTTGCCAACCTGGGAGGGGGAGGCTGCGGCTCTCCAAGACGGAAGAGAAAGGGGCGGGATGCGTGTCAAAGCCTTTCCGTGGAAAGCTTTCCAGAGGATCCTGGGCAGGGAGGCAGCTCGCTGCCCCCGGGGACAGAACCGGAAGGTGGTGGCATCGCGGAGGCATCACAGCCCAGGGCAGGGCACCTGGGGATCAGGAACGAGTGTTTATCAAGCAGACAAGGGAGGGAGGAGAGAGTGAATGGGAAGGGGAGGACAAGTGCTGCTTTGAAAATAGTAGCAGTAATAATAATAGCCGCATTTGCTGAGTACCTAGTACACGCCAGCCACATTCTCGGTGCCTCGCCTGAAAGGTGTCCCTTCCCCCTGGGTCTGTGACCACGAAGGCCCGTTTGGCGATATTGGAGTAGGGAAAAGTCTGTCGCCAGGAACCGGTGGACTCTTTCCTCAACTCTCCAGGACGAGAGGAGAAAGAATGGTTGCGCGTCCATGTCTACCTTTATTCACCAGATCACACAGGTCGGGGTCTGGCGGGGAGGGGCTCAACTGGTCTTTTGGGATGGGCACTTCCAAGTAAGGCTGGCATTCGCGTCTCTAGCCTCGGTTTCCCCCCTTCTGGCTGGCTGTAGCCAAAATGAATCGGCTGACATCTACAAGGTGTTTGTGTGCAGCTGATGGGGCTAACTGGATCGTTAGTAAGGGTTCATTTAGAATAATGGCGAGAAAGACACATAAAGGTACTCTCAGACCACAAGATGCATCGAAGAGTTACTTGTATTGCACAAAACGTTTTAAAAGCACTGGCGTTCTCAGCAGCATTTGCTCCCAGAGGGCTGGCGGAGGGAGAACCAAGGTGGGTGGGGGAGAGGTCAAGTGTTGACCAAGTAAGAAAGATGCCAGCACTAGAACTCACTGCACACCCGCTCTCCAGGCTCAGTCCTCACTGTGTCTCCAGGCAATGGTCTCTGCCTCCTCTCTGTGTTTGTATGGTTGAGTTCCACTCCCTTCTCTCACCTTGCATGTTTCAGAGAAAGCAAGTATACTGAGTTACACACCGGATGGTTTACTCATCCATCGGCTATGTAATTAGGCAATTTAGACTTCACGCAAAAGTTCCTCCGTGAAAAAAAAAATTGTTTGAAAGAAAAAGGAAATCAACAACAAACACAGTATAGAAGATACTCTTTTACCATCCTCCAATGATCTGGAATTATTTTCTGAATTGTAAATCAACTTACCCATGATCCTTTTCGGTTCTGTTTTCAAAGTTTACAATGAATTACTCATTTGCAGGTTTATTTTCATCATTGCCGTTTTTATTCAGTGACTCTTCAAAACAAACCTTGGAGAAGTATGGGGAGGAACCTGCATTCTGCTCTAAGAGTGCACAGTCTGCTCTAGTGGCAAGAACCTTTGTTTGAGTACCCCCTTGGGTACCTGCCCCTACAGGGGGAGCTAATGTTTCGGGGTTACCTTCCCATTAGGCATGAGGCTGTGCCCCAAGAGAGGGTGCACCGTGCCCAGGGAGGCTCCCCTGGAAGGGAAAAGCCATGAGCAAATTCATGAATCAGAGTGCTGTTTTTTAGTTCTTTTGTGAAATAGACTCATTTCTTAGCTTAAGAAAAACCCCATGCCTAGATCATGCCTCCCAAGTATATATTAAGCACGAATACAATCACACCTTCCTAAGTGCCACTTCCCAGGTAAAGGAAAGCTAGAAGCACAACTCCATCCATAGACACTGCAAAGCAGTTTCCAGGGGCAGATGGTCATTTTCCCAGCATTCACTGTCAGCACAGATTTTGTTGTTGTTGTTATATCTAGATTCAGATGTTGGCGGTGGTCACTGGGTCATTCATTTGTTCAACAAACTACTGGGCGTCCAACATGGGACCAGGTGCTGAGGATTTAGCAGTGATTTAGACAGATATCTGCTTTCGAAGCTCACATTTTCATGCACTCAATGCATTACATTCTAGACAGAACATTTTAACAGTAAACAAAGATATTTATATATTGTAGGGAATGTTTTGAAGAGGATCAATGGGATAGTATGTCACAAATAAAACTGGAAATTCAGTTTGGACGAGGGTGAATGAAAAGGTTCCCTCTGGAGAGGAAATATTTCAACTGAGGATCCAAAGATGGGAATGGGGTCTACCACGCCAGGAGCAGGGGAAGAGCTTTCTGGGCCGACAAGTGTGAAATTCCTGAACTAGAAAGGTCATGGACACGCAGGGATTATAAAGATGGCCATGTGCTGGGAGGAGAACGGGCAAGGAAGAGAGTAAGCAGGGGTAAGATCTTGTAAGCTGTTCCGGTTTTGTCTTATGGTCGATATGAAGTCACTGATGATTCTCAGGCAGCAGAGAGAAGTGATGTCACTTACAGAGAGGCTGTGAAGGGAATAAATTACAAAGGGGCAGAAGAAGAAACAGAAAAACCAGAAAATTGCAGTAGTCTGGGGAAAAGACGATGGTGACTTGGTCCAGTGAAAATAAGAATTAGTAAAGAGAGAGTAGAGGGGAGGCTGGGGGGTAGGGGAGGTACATTTAGGAGATAGAAACTGCAGGTAATCAATATAATATGAGAAATAAGCACTGAATACCAGGGTTTTCGTTTTAGCAAATAGGTAGGTGGGTGTCGCCATTTACTGGGAAAGGGAAGATGAGGGGTTGAACAAGTTGGAATCAATCAAGGTCTCATTTGGGGGACATCAAATCGGAGAGGCAAATTAGACATGCAAATAAAAACATCAAGGAGGTGACTGTTTATTCCGGTCTGGAATATGAGAAATGTATGATTTATGAATTTAAAACTTTGAGATATATTTAAATTCATTGCACTAAAGTCTTTGAGAAAAATGGAATGTGAGCAATAAACAGTAACAACCAGTCCTTCACAACAGTCTTCCATCTACCGTTCAAGTGCAGGAGGAAGAGGAACCAGTGAAGGGGACTGAGGGTTGTCAGTGGGGTCAAAGGGAAGCCAAGGAAAGGAGTTGTTTTGGAAACCAACAACTGGTACCAAAGCCTACAGGCTCCATTCTCATAGGCCCACAATGGCCTTCCAATGGAGCACACGGTCTACATAAGATCAGAAGCATGTGGTGGGAAGAAGAGGACATTCATAGGAAAGAACCATCCAAGCACGATGAATGTATGTGCCACACAAGATGAGCACCGACAACGTGACACATAATTTGATGACCATTTACATCCTGACTTCTGCCCCAAACCCTAAAATACCAGGTATATAAATAATTATTCTATTACTTCTTTTTATTACAATTTTTACTTCTCATTCTGTGTGTCTGTCTGTGTATTTTCTGTGTGTGCCTGTCATCATCTTGGTAGTGGGATCCCTCAGGTGTTCCTCTGGTAAGGGAAGATGTGGTCATGGACTTGGCCTCATTTATCTGGGTCATCTCTGGGAATGGGTCTCTGTACTGCCCTGTCACCCGCATGAACCTGCTCTGAGGATGGGGTGATGAGTGGTCGGCTCCCCTACTTCTTACTGAGAGAACACCTGTGCACAAGCACACACCCCCTCCCTAAGAAGACTGACCTCCCCTCCCCCTTGAGCCTTCCACTCTGGAATCCAAACCATTCAGAGCCAGTGGAAAGT